CAGTGAGAAAAGCTCTCTGACCCGGGGCAATTAACCGGTACACAATATGATCAAATTACGGCTCAGTCAAAAGTGTGGCTGAGCCCTTTGTCCTATTCTCTACAAGTTGCAGCCTCTCCGTTGTATCTTTAGAACCGGCTGAAGTTTCTGAACCGTCTTCCTAGGCAGCCCCACGTTGCAGCAATCTAGTCAGAAACTTACAGGGCATGACAAGGCGTTCTTTTTGTGAAAGTTCGTTAGTGTAACCACTTGGAGCAATTCCTACTCATCGCCAGTGAAATGGCTATCCATACAGCTTATAACCACAGTGATCACCTCAATGTGTTTCTTTGTAGACGGACCGTGACCGAGACCACTGCGTGCGACTGGCAATAGGTAATGGCATGCGTGTGGAAGTCTGGAAGGAGTTCCTGCATCGATTCAAACCTATCCAAATCCACGAATTCTATGGCGCCACAGAGGGGAATGTTGGATTTATTAACTACATCGGGAAGGTTGGAGCCATGGGAAAGACAAACTTCCTCCACAAGGTAATGAGGGCTAAGCAGGAATTTCCAGGGTGTATTGATCACGTATGTCTAAATAAATAATGTCTTATCTTCTTCTTTGGCGATCGCTTGTAGCAGAGTAGGATTGTCTTCCATAAACACAGTTTTAACAGTGAGTCCATAAGTGACTGTGGAGGCCAATTCTGGACCCACACGTCCTTCCACAGTGTATGGTTGGATTTTTGGAAGACGCCTGTGCATGAATTTGTTTTATGTGTGTAGATCAGTGCACGCTGATCAACGCACAGTCTTTGCAATAGGACTCTGTTCCAATGGTATGAGTAGTCACGATGAACCGGTAGATCCTATCTGCTGCAGCCTTCATCCGCCTTCACAGCCGTTGTAACATTCCGCTTGTTATCACCTGCCTGTTCTACCGTTGAGGAATTCTTGGGTCATTCTTTGTCTCACTTGATGGATCATCACCTTGTGGTGGTGAGTGGGTTTGGACATTCCTTGTGAGCGAAGCCGTCGGGAATCTCGTACTCGCAACAGGGTCACCCAAGGCGGTAAGATCAAAGGGAAGGAGCTAGACAAAGAATGTCTTATAGAATTCCAAGGTCCCAGTCAAACATCCCCAAACACTCCACTCTAATTGCACACCTCATCTTCTGGTCTCTTAAAGCTGCCTTCAGTTCTCTCTTCAATAGCCACCTTTTCTGTGTAGACTTTGGCACTATACTTCAGTCTAGGAATAACCAAAGTGGTATTCTCCAGATATTGGACTGGATTCCTGACTAGGGCAGAGCGATAGCTGGTTTTCAACATTGTTATATATAACAGCTAAACAAAGAGCGATATACCCAATATATCACAATGTCCGAAATAAGGATGGAACTATGTAGAGGCATTTGCTTCACGGTTTTGCCTGCATCGTGATTTTTGCTGGCACCTGCTCTTGTGATTCGCTGCCTCCTGCATGAGGTGGGGGAGAGTTGAGTTAACAGAGTTAAAAGGGGCTGTAGGAATCAGGAGAGGCATTGGCTGTCTTCACTGTTTTGCCCACATTGTGATTTTTGCATAGCACGCACACACACACACACACACACACACTTTGTGGTTTTTTTGGGGGGCGTGTTATTGGGTTGCTGTTTTTATTTTTATTAGGTATTTTGTTGTTTTATAACTTGATTTTATTCTGTGAACCGCCCTGACACCCCCGGGTGTAGGGTGGTATATAACTTCAATAAATAATAATAATATATTGTCAGGTCAAAAATTACAAAGCCAATATCACAATATGGACTTCAAACCAGTTTTGGACAATATATTGATATATCGCTTGGCCCTGTTCCTGGCCATTGGTAATGACAGCTGTGGAGGCCCCCCAGTTTGGCCACACCTGCCTTATTCCCCCTTTCCTTTGACTGGTCTTAACTGTCCAGGGGTCCTTCACCATTTTCTTACCTTTATTGTTTGCAGGGATCCTGGCACCATTGGTGCCTTCTTAGTCTTAATCACCTTTTGGCTGGGGATGAGAGACTTTCTTCTGTTCCTTTCCTTTATTGTTATTCTGGTTCAAGGGCTTCAGCCTCCTCATGTGGTTTTACCCAACTGGAGTGTCCTGTACTGTACTATGATAATGCCTGTTGTTTTCATGGATGGAGGATGGAGAGATATGGGTATTTTTTAAATGGGGGGTGGGGGCTGCTTCTAGAAACCTTTGATCTTTGCCTAGCTGGAATGCAGCCTCGTGTGCAAAGGTAAGAGTCCCACGAGATATTCCGAGATTAGGGCTTTTGTCCTTTGAAGAGTTGTGCAGTAAACAAGAAGCCTTGGAGGTGAAGCTGTTCCTGGCACGTCTGATACAGGGATGGGAAAAATTTCACCCCTTGCCATGTCTGTTTGAGATGCAGGGCTTAAGTAACAGGACTTCTAAGTGCATTTTTTTTTATTTTGATCAAGCACATTTCACAATAAACCGTTTCAAAGTGTGTCAGAAAATATTTCCAATTAATACAGTCATACTTCATGTTATATTTGTTTCATGACATGTTTCTTCAGGTTGCGTCCTGCGGCAACCCGGAAGTACCGGAAAGGGTAGTTCCAGGTTTCGCCACTTGTGCATGCATAGACGTGCAAAATGATGTCACGTGCATGCACAGAAATGGTGAATCGCAACCTGCATGTTTGCAGACGCGCCGCTGCAGATTGCGTTCTATTAATGTTGCGAATGGGCCTCCGGAACGGATCCCGTTCGCAACCAGAGGTACCACTGTATATGAATTTAGCAACAGGAAAATGCCAGCCAATTCAATATGGATGGATCGAGGGTGGGGAGATAATGCAAGACAGCCGCAAAGTTAGCAAACTCTTTTCTCTATTACATTATATCATGTATTGTAAATGCTGCCATCATAATTCCCTCTTTTGCTGATGTTCAGGCTGCCAGTACCATTGGTTATGTTGCTAAAATGTCACCCCCCACATAGAAGAGGGAAGATGTCACTATCTTGAGGAAATGGAGCGCAGTGACTGGAATCCTGAACAGGGAGCAACCCGTGCTGCAACATTTTGTTGCGGATCCTACTTGTCTACACAGTCGTACCTTGGTTTTCAAACAGCTTAGTTCTCGCACATTTTGGCTCCCAAACGACGCAAACCCAGAAGTGACTGTTCTGGTTTGCGAACTATTTCTGGAAGGCAAATATCCAATGGGGCTTCCACAGCTTCTGATTGGAGCTTCCTGCAGCCAATCGGAAGTTGCGCCTTGGTTTCCAGTCCGGAACGGATTCTGTTCAACTTCCAAGGTACGGCTGTAGTAATAGTAAACTCAATTTTCTAAGTGTGGTTCCTTCTGAAGCCAAAGTGGCAGTACTCACACAAACAAGGAAGATGTATCATCAGGTACCCAGGAACTCCAAGGTTTGTAGAAGTACAAAAAAAAGAGAAACATGTTTTGGGGGGAAAGAGTCCAATGAGGGCTGTGCATACACTTCGGGCAGAGAATTATGACAGGTTGTTTTTGAGAGTGGAGTGGGGAGAATCGTAAACCAGCAGGGAGAGGGAATGGAATGGAATGCCCTGAAAAAGGGCATGGCTGGCTGGAGTCCTAAACTTCATGTTGCAACATTTTGCTGGAGCACCTGCTTAGATAAACTAAAATCAAAGAGCAGGTTCCAAAGTCCAGGGCAACGGAATGAAAAATCTGCCGACACCCACAAGCTTTACACAACTGTGTAAAGTTAATCCGTTCAGTCCTGAACTTTGAACTATTTTCAATTGAAAACCTTACATTGAAAAGCAAATAAATGTGCATAAGGTGACTTAGTTTAATAATCACCCCTCCCAAGAGGAACTCTGGGAACTGTAGTTCTGTGAGTGGTGGCATGCAGCTAGGTTCCTCTTAACGAATAATCCCCAGCACTCTCACCAAACTACAATTCCCAGAATTCCGGGGGGGGGGGAGTCATGATAGCTAAAATGACGTAGGCTTGTAGAAAGTTCCAAGAGCTTTCCCAGGTGGCATCTTGAGGGATGTTTTTGAGAGAAGGGCAGAAAACGCAGCTTTACCCAACACCGGCCAGAGATGTTAAGCGCACCTTTGCCCAGTTTAGCAGAAGCAGTTACTCTCCCTCTGGCCTCTTGGTTTCAGAAAATAATGCCAACATACCATATTTTTCTGTGTATGACATGCCCCTGTGTATAAGACACTATTTTGGGGGACTCAAAATTAAGAAAATGGGGGAGGATTGACCAGAGTTGTGGAGCTTTTTGGGGGTGGGGAATGCAGTAAATCACTAACCCAGAAAATCACTCTCATCGCAGAAGCCTGCAAGCATCTGCCCGCTTGCAAACAGCAGCCGGCATTCAAACGCCCAATTGCCGCAGCGGCAGCCAATCCACAGCAGCCCTTGCCGCAGCAACCAATCTCCTGCCCAATTAACGCAGCACCAGCCAATCCAAAGCAGCCCTTGCCGCAGCCACCAATCACCCACCAAATTGCCACTGACAAGCTGCAGCACGCGGCTGCAACCAATCACTCATCCCCCCTATGCACTATCGGTGTATAAGACGCACCCCATTTTTACACCTTATTTTACAGAATGAAAAGTCTTATACATGGGAAAGTACGGTGTTTCACATCTGGCAACCAGTATGCCCTTTTGGTTTCAGAAAGTTCATGGGTAAACAAGTCTAAAAGCGCAGGACACAAACTAAGCTCTCCTACCACACTCTTTGGGGGAAGTTGGTGTTGCTGGTCGAAGGAGCTTGAGGTGGCTCTGTCCGGATCTGTGCAACCCTCGCTTTCCAGGGGCAGTGCTGAGGAGAGCAGCGGTGCCAAGGAAGAGAAGCCACAGTCCAGGTGCCAAGGAACTGGCTCTGGCCTGGGGGCCACTGGTTATCTTTGCTTGAGGTCAATGATCCTAGCTGTGGTTACGGCACTGCAGGGCATTGGACTCAATGACCCTTTGAGGCAATGACCCTGTAGAGTAGTTACATGGTTCCATCAAATGCTTTATGATCCTGGTGTTATAACATGCTTGCCTTGAATTTATGCCTTATCATCTCATGCTTTCCTTTCTATCTGTTCCCCTTCAGAAACTGGCAAAATTCGAACTGATTCAATATAACGTTGACCAGGATGAGCCGGTGAGGGATGAGAAAGGATATTGCATCCCAGTGGCCACAGGTAATAAAACAAGCATACATTTACATCCACACCATAGGTTTAAAGCACTCTTATGCCACTTTAAAAGCCATGGCTTGCCCCCAAAGAATTGCAGGAACTGTAATTTTGCAAGGGTGCAAAACTGTAGCTCTGTATGGGGTCTCCTAACATCTCTCAGCACTCTTGACTTCAGAATTTTGGTTTCTCACTTCAGTGTGTGTGTGTGTGTGTGTGTGTGTGTGTGTGTGTGTTTGGGTCCAGCATCACATACAAGCACTAATTTTACATATGAATTGCCCAGTCCACAAAACTCTTAGGCGCATTACAGGAAGATTTTTTTTTTTTAAGATTGTCTATAGAATTTCTGGAATGTCTTTTTCCCAAGAGAACTCAAGGTGAATTATAAATGATTAAATATAAAATACGTGGGGATACTTTTGAAAGTGATCCGGAAACTACAATTAATCCAGAATGCAGCAGCTACACTGGTGACAGGGAGTGGCTGCTGAGGCCATATAACACCGGTCCTGAAAGACCTACATTGGCTCCCAGTATGTTTCCGAACACAATTCAAAGTGTTGGTGCTGACTTTTAATGCCCTAAACGGCTTCAGCCCAGTATACCTGAAGGAGTGTCTCCACCCTTAGCGCTCAGCCTGGACACTGAGGTCCTTCTTCAAGGGTCTTCTGGTGGTTCCCTCACTGCGAGAAGTAAGGTTACAGGGAACCAGGCAGAGAGCCTTCTTGGTAGTGGCACCTGCCCTGTGGAATGCCCTCCCATCAGATGTCAAGGAAATAAACAACTATCTGACTTTTAGAGGAAATTTGAAGGCAGCCCTGTTTAGGGAAGTTTTCAATGTTTGATGTTTTATCGTGTTTTTAATATTCTGCTGGGAGCCGCCCAGAGTGGCTGGGGAAAACCAGCTGGATGGATGGGGTATAAATAAATTATATATAAATTAATAATAATATTCTGAACCAACTCAGAAACAAATGAAGATTTAAAGGGTTTTGTACTTTTTAAGGAACTATCCAGTTTATTTTAAGACCAGGAATGTTCCAAAGGGGTAAAAGCACTTTTGTGTACGCACTATACTTTAAGGAACATTTGAAATGCATTCTTTCCCTTAAAGAATTCTGGGTATTGTAGTTAGTTGGGGATGCTGGGAATGGTAGCTCCGTGAGGTGTAAACTTCAAGGGGAAGGCATGCAAAGCTACCTTTTCCATTCAGCTCCTGTACTCTAAAAACATTGTCCTTTATGAGTGTAATTGTTTATAGTAGTCTGGTCCAGTCAATTTCACCACTGTGTTGATTTGTTATGGGGCATGGGGAAATAGAACAGAATTACCAAGGTTCTCCTTCCTTCCCTTCCAAGGCGAGACAGGATTACTGGTGGCCAAGATCACTAGCCATACCCCATTCTCTGGCTACGCAGGAGACCGTCAGAAGTCGGAGAAGAAGATTCTCCGGGATGTTTTTACCAAAGGAGACTGCTATTTCAACAGTGGTGACCTCCTGATGCAAGACCATGATGGCTTTCTATATTTTCAGGACCGGGTAGGAGACACTTTCCGGTGAGTCCCACCTCTCCAGGTGGGGTGGGATCTGCTGCACTTGGTCTGCCGAGGTTGCAATTTCAGATGATATACACCGTATTTTTCCGTGTATAAGACGCTCCCATGTCTAAGATGCCCCCTTTTTTGGGGGGACTCCAAATTAAGAAAAAAACCCTCAGCACCACCCATGTATGAGACGAGCCCCAATTTTAAACCTAATTTTTTGGTTAAAAACCCCTAGTCTTATACATGGAAAAATACGGTATATCTGTTGTTGGCATTATGCCAGGTATAGCATATAACACAGTGCAAATTTATGCAAGGTATATTTAGAAGCAGGGGAGTACTGAAATGTCTCGGGGACAGGCCCCTGACAGAAGCCTGCATGAGATTTGCATTTGCTCATTTATATTCATAGATGCAAATTTCTGCTTGGCTGCAGTCTCACTGCCCCTTTGCTTTGCAATATACCCAGCAGCCCTCAAAGCAAATGGTTGAGGGGAAACAACAGGAGATCTGGCTGTTGGTGCAAAAGACCCACAATTTGATTCTCAGGGTTTGTCCTTGCCTCCGTTTGCCCCACTTCTGCCCCCTTCCACTCCTTATGGAAACTCAATCTTTAGCACCAAATGCAACTGGATTTTCCACGATTGCTGTTTGTTCCGATTTATCACTAAAGAGTGGGTTTTCCAGGGGGAAATGACAGGGCAAAGGCAAAATCACTCAAACCCATGCCCAGAAAGCATGACAGAAGTTGAAAACTGCTGAGCCCTGTGCTTTCAAGTGGAAGTGTGGACGAGCCCTTAGCAAACACCTCAGGAAGAAAGATGACAGAAACACATGTACTGTAAATGTCCTTATTCTGTACAGAGATCATTCATATTGTGATGTTGAAAGGAGGCAGGAAAACAAGCAATGTGCCAGGAAGTTTCTGGTTCTGATCTGCAATGAACACTGTCAGATTGTTGCTCAGACCCACACCTCATGTGAAAGCCCCACTGCTGATCCTGGGAGCCTACTTAGTGGGGAAGGAGAGCTGAAAAGAATGCCAATATATTTCACATCTGGCAACCAATGCACTCCTTTGGTTTCAGATAGTACATGGGTAGACAAATCTAAAATGCCTGGGACACAAATTTTCACAGCCCTCTAGCAACTATGGTGGCTTGGTTACCAGAAGTAATGTATTTAGCATTAGCAAAATGCACACCAGGAGATTTAGTTTGGTCCAAATCAGGTATAAACTTCCAGAGTGAACATTAAATACATCAGTTCTGGTAAATGAGCCGCCGTAGCCACGAGAGGGCTGTGGAAATTTGGGTCCTGGATTTTGACTCATCTGCCCATGTCGTATCTGAAACCAAAGGGGCACAGTGGTTGCTGGATGTGAATTCCTCCCCCCAGCTCTCCTACCCCACTACCTGGTCCTATTCTTCCTCCTTCTTGCTGTTGCTGCTTGCTCTCTTGCTGACTCTGAGCTAGCAGAAGGTGTAGGAAGAAGCAGGGATGTGTGCCTGCTTTGGTTTATTCTGATGTTTTATTATGGGGCTTAAATGGACAGACATTGAGGGGTGAGCACACAGGAGTGTGCCAACTCTGCCCCCACCTTCCTGCCACCCTCCACAGATTTAAAGACTATGGCACAATATTGTACACAAAGCACTTTGAACACTCAAGAGCGGGAAAGAAATGCTGTGGTAGTTGCTCTTAACATAATAGGCATGCTCATCTCCCCAAACGGTAACTGTTCCCCTCTCTCTGCAGCTGGAAAGGGGAGAATGTGGCCACCACGGAGGTTGAGACGACCTTGGCAATGCTGGAGTCGGTTCAGGAAGCCAGTGTCTATGGTGTGCCGGTGCCAGGTGGGTCCTGAAGTGCCATTCTTAAATGCAACTTTGGGCAGCCAGAGTTAGCATCTGTGGCATCAGGAGATCGGCTCCACAGCAGCAGGCTAAGGGAAGAGGTATTGAGGATAGTCCATTGTACCTGCCATCTTTGGACACTGGTACCATTTCCAGTCACAGTTTGAAGTGCCTGTGAGTCCCACGGTCTATAGAGCACAAGGTGTCTAAACCAGAGGTGGGGAACCTATGCTGCCCCAAATGTCACTGGACTCCAGCTCCCATCTGCCCCGGAAGGTATGGCCGGCAGCTCGCCTCTGCTCCCCCTCCACTGAAAAAATGTCCTTCACCCACAATGCTTCCACACTGGGCATTCATTGTGGAATAGCCGCACTTTGTTCACTCTCCTTATGATGGATCTGCAGAATGTGCTGAACAGAGATTTAGAATCGCAGAGTTGGAAAGGACCCCAGCGGTCATCTAGTCCAAACCTCTGCAATGCAGGAATCACAGTTAGATCCATTAGGTCAACAGTGTTTATTTTGAAATGCTGCTTTATTTTTATATGCTGCTTCTCCACTGAAGAGATACAAGACAGTGAATGTAATATGCAACACTTTCACATCGATAGATTGCATCAGCTTGTAACACAAACAAAAAACCTGCCCTGGCCACAAATTATACCACTTCTTCTTCCTTTTCCTAATGGCCCTTCTCCCTTTCTATTAGTCCCACATTAATACCGTCAGTGGCACAAAGAGTGCAAGAGAAGCTGGAAGGCATGTCTCTGGTGACATGTGTGAAATGTGTTTTGCTAGCTAATATATGTTTTGCTAGCTACAGTGGGAAGGAGAGCTGGAAAAAACACACATCTGGCAACTAATGGGCCCCTTTGGTTTCAGATAGCACATGGGTAGAGAAATCTACAAAGCCCGCGACACGAATTTTCACGGCCCTCTAGCGGCTATGATGGCTCATTTGCCAAAAGTAATGCATTTTGTGTTAACTCTGGAAGCGCAGACTCAATTCTGACCAAACTAAGCATCCTAGGGCAAAATATAGATCAGAAGGCTTAGTCTGGTCAGAATTGAGTCTACTCTTCCAGAGTTAACACGAAATACCTCACTTCTGGTAAATGAGCCACCATAGCCACTAGAGGGCTGTGAAAATTTGTGTCCCGGGCTTTTTAGATTCATCTACCCCTGTATTATCTGAAACCAAAGGGGTGTATTGGTTGCCAGATATGAAATACGTTGGCACTATTTCCAGGTTTCCTACTTAGAAGGGCTCCCACAACGATCAGAGCAAAGTCACAAACCATGACATTGCACCACTGGCAGATATGCTAGCACAAATATTTGAGATCAAGATGCCAGTTAGGTTAATCTTTTTCTCTAGTCCACATACTTCCTTGTGCTACAGGCAGACATATTCAGATGTAACCCTTTTATCTATTCTGAGTTGTACTGTGGACAATGAAAATGTTTGCGGGAGCAAAAATCCATTCACCTCCCAGGGTGCAAGATGGACTGATCATTTCCCCTCTAATGTAGAGGATGTGGTTATTTGTGACATAGCTAAAAGCCAGAAAGACCAGAACCAACTTCTTTGCTATTTACAACATGTTCTCTACTTGGTTGCCAACAAGCAATTTTTAATGTCCCACCGGCAAGCCCAGGCCAGTGGCTATTTACAAGCCTATTTAATTAATTATTTCATGGCATGTATATTGTGCTTTAAAAAAAAAATCATTTCTAAGCGGTGTATGTAAAGATCAGCCACATAAAGTATAATGAAAAATTCATCATAAAACCGAACATGAATCCCAAGCATACGATAAAACCATAACTTCCAGCCTCCCTATAAATGCAATAAAAGAAAAGCAGCCTGGAAAGCAGGTGTCTAAGCTAGCTTCTGAAATAGCAGAAGGAGATGATAGTAATTTCAGAACTACAAAATCTATATGCATAAGGGTGGGTGGGAATATGTGAAGGAGAAAAACAATCTGAAAGAGAAAATTCACTTGGCAAGAAAAAGAATGAGCCATACTGGGTTCTCCGTATAGTCTAGGAGTAGGTAAAGGAACAATGTTCACAGAATACAATTTCCCCAAAGCGACATTAACATGTTTTATTATTTACTGCTGAAGGAGGGTCCATTTGCACATCAGGGTGCAGGACAAATGTCTGCAACTGTTGCACGTCTAGAGCAGTTAGTTGTGACAAGTGAAGCACCAGGACACAAGCACTTTTTTTTAATGCGATAAGTTTTATATTGCAGTTTCCTGCAACAACATCCTCTTGTTTGATCCCTGTCCAGCTTCCATTTTTCTTTCAAATCTCAGAAAATCTGACTTAATAACAAATAAGAAAATTCCATAGAATAGCTGTGCAATTTTCCCCAGGTGTAGATGGCCTGTAATGCTGCTGTTCTACTGGGTTATGGCTTGTATAGATTGTTGTAGCCATTTCCTGGCTTATGCCACTCTCCAGTGGGTGCCCAGTCCTAGAGGATATCAAATAGCAAAGCACTCCCCAGCAGGGACAGGGTTGCAGATGGAGCACAGTGCAAACAAACCAAGGTCAAGCATGGAGAGTCAGCCAAGGTCCAAGGTATAAACCAGAAGCAACATCAGGCAACAATCCAAGGCTAATAGCGCAGGGAGTTCAGGCAAGCTGCAGGAACTAGAATCAGGAGCCAGAGACCTGTGCTGTTGCGTGGCGAATTCCCGTCCCCCCCAAGTGGAAATAATGACACAATTATTAAGGTTAATGGGCTAAAAAAGGCCACAACTTTATTGGTTACAGGTGATGAGTGGTATTGGCTTAGGCATTCGTCCTAACCGCCTATATCCAACTTCAGCCCATCCGCTTGAAGTCCGGGAAGGGTTAACCACCAGTAGAGGGAGTCCTGCTGAGGCACATCAACTAGGAACTTCCCCGGGGTCACCGATAGGGGGCGTGCCTTAGGCCCTCACCTCCCCAGGCTTCGGACAGGGCCACGCCCCTCGGAATCCTTTATTGGACTACCCTTCAATATGCAGGGCAGGTGATGGCATTACCTCCCCTCTTCCATCTACAGAAATATACCAATGCCTAACCGCCAATACCTGGCAAGTTATGACAATTGCTATGAGGTAGGCGAAAACCAAGTGGCTGGTGCCAATTTGCCAAGTGGAAAAATTCCTACCAGGCCCCTCAATGGTGACCAACCAAGGTCCATAGCAAGGTCAAAGAACAAAGCCTTATAGGGTGGGAGGGTGGGAAAACCAAACAGCGGATGAGCGGCAAAGAGGAGATCCCGGCCGCATTCTGCCTTTATAGGGCAGGCCACGCCCCCGAACCAGCCAATTGGCCAGCCAGGGAGTGACGCGGCCAGGAATCCCCCCAATCGCACGGGGCTAGCCTCCACCCACCGCGCGCGTGGAGAGGATGTGAAGCCCGCAACCCCACCTCCTCTGAAGGGCAGAAGTGGCTTTTCCAGCAACTGAAAGGCTCGGGAGACTCTTTACTCATGAGCTGTGTGTTGACTCTGAGTCTGTAGCAGAGGTGCATTTAGGGGAGCGAGACTGGTCCGCCCGCACTGGGCACTGAATCAAGAGGGTGCCTGTAGCGGCACCACAACAACGACAAACAACAGAAGCGGAGAGGTGAAGGGGTGCCAAATTTTTATGTCACACACATGCTACGTCATTGCTCTTCAGCCACAGACCTGGATCTTTCACACACACACACACACACACACACACACACACACACACACACAAAATTTTTCTGTTTTACAATTTAAAGTACTCATTTATATATCCTTAACATACCAATGACTTCCCTTCCTCTCTTTCCATGGCTCATTTTACATATGATAAATTCCTGCATATTTTACAGAAACTATACCATTCAGTATTCCATTATTACATGCATCATAACTTATTTACACTGTTGAATTTATCTTAATGCTGCCAGCGTTTTCAGCTGTACATAGTTATTTCCCATATATTCAGTAAAAGTTTTCCAGTCTTCTCTAAATGTATGTTCTTTTTGTTCTCTTCTTCTGTATGTCTGCAAGCTGCACATATTCTGTCAACTTAAGCTGCCACTCTTCTTTAGTTGGGACTTTGCTCATTTTCCATTTTTGGGCTAACAAAACACGGGCCGCAGTAGTGGCCTACATAAATAACCTTTTTTGACACCTGGGAATTTCAGTCTGAATTATCCCCAACAGAAAGGACTCGGGGGGGGGGGTCTTGGGGGGGGGGAGTACTTTTAAACATATTTTTCAGTTTGTTATGGATCATTTCCCAATACACTTTTACTCTTTTACAACTCCACCAAAAATGTTCCCTCAGACCCAGATCTTTCAATGCTGGTGTTCTTGAGGACTGGGGTGGGGGTGGCTCCCACTCTTCCTTTGATACCACCAAGGGTTTTTCAGCAGGCCTTCCCTGAGAATATCCCTCAAGGGGATCCTCAGTGCTAGTTCTAAGAGACCCTGTGTGCTCCTCAAAGTCCTTGGAGTTCACCCTCTGAGGACTCTACATTTGTTCACCCTCTGAGGACTCTACATTTACCAGGTCAGGGCTAGGCATGGCAGTAGAACCATTTCCTTCTCTATTGTCTATTTCCTCTCTAGGAATTAATTCTACTGCTTTAATCCTGAGATGGTGAACCTGCAGCCCTCCAGATTCTATTGGACTCCAACCCATCAGCCCCAGTCAGCATGGCCAGTGATCAGGGATGATAGGAGCAGCAGCCCCCTGCCCCTACTTTAGCCCTCTTCTTTAACACTGTCTTTGGATCCTTTCTTTTTCTCCCTCCGCACACAAAAATAATTGTGTGTGCGTGTGTGAAGTGCAGTGGGGGCAGGGAGAAGTAGTATTTCAGCCTTTCTCACACAAATAATGGTCCCAGTGAAAACTGTCCCCCTCCAACATTTGGGGCAGAGGAAAGGAAGACTGCACACTTGGCCACAGAGTGTTAGTTTTCTGGAAGCAGAGCTCTGCTTCTGCTTCCAGTTTAAGACAAAACAGCTGTGATGGGGATGCTGCCACATCTGGAAGCCCCCCTAGAAGAAGCCCCCATTGGGGTTGTCTTTTATCCTCGTTTGTGTGCAACGTGTGGCAATGCCCTTAAAACATTTCTCTTTTTGGTTTGTTCCAGGACACGAAGGAAAGATCGGGATGGCATCCATATGCCTGAAGGATGGGCTGCCCTTTGATGGGAAGGAGGTGTATGCCCATGCCAAGGACTGCTTGCCAAACTATGCTATACCTCGCTTCATTCGCGTCCGGGTAAGGCGCTGCTCTGTTGCATCACTCTTTAGTCTGTATTATTAATGTTGTTAGCTGTCAGGAGTGAGCCTTCAGTAAATCACATGGAGTATGTGTAGTTAACTCTTTGGTACAAAAAACAGGATCTGCGCAGGAGTGCCAGGCCTAATAAGCACACCAACTCTTCTTCAGTAGGTCTTGCCTCCGTGAGGCAGTGGCGGAGAATGAAGGTCCCTGCCTTCCCACAGCTGTCTATGTCACCTCCTCTTCCAGCAAGCAATATGAGACTGCGCCTGCATGCCTGTCTCTGCTCCTCCCACTTCATGCCTCTCCTGGTTCTGAGATATTAGTGAGGAAAGGAACGGGTCGCAGCAGGAGGGGGAGACACCTGTGCTTCTTCACCAGCCTGTCCCATCTCTGCTCCTTGGCCTCCCTCCTCTCCTGCTTCTGATTCTGGACTTCTCTCTGCCACCGCCTCTTCCTGCTCACTAAACCCTGTTACCTATTAGCTCTCAAGAAGCGGGAGAGTTAGGAGGCAGCCAGAGTGTTGCTAGGCAATCAGCAGATAAGCAGAGGACTGAGAGTGTGTCGAGTGGAAGGGGGAAGGCCAGCCTCTCATTCCCTGTTCTAGGAGAATGGATAAGGTCAGAGGACAACAGATGGGCAAGAGGGGAAGGGCTGGAATTTGACGTCCTTCCTGCTGTGAAAGGGGTGGAGATTCAGACTGACCAACTATCATCAATGCGAGCAGGCGAGAAGCCGTGCTCTGGATGTGTTTTTTATAAATAAATGTAACATAAAACTGCCGGAGAGTCATTACTTCTTATCAGGGCTTGCTTGCCTGCCTGAGATGATTACAGGTGGGGCGTCATTCATGCTTCTGTACTCACCCCAGTGCCCTTTTCACACAGGACATGCTGGAGACCACAGGCACTTTTAAGCAGCTCAAAAGTCAACTGGTGAAGGAAGGCTTTGACCCTGTCATCATCAGGGACCCTCTCTTCTTCCTAGATGACTTGGAAAAAAGTTACGTGCCAATGACTCAGCAGATCTTCAGTGCCATTGCAGAGAAGAAACTGAAGCTGTGAATGCCTCTTTAGCTGTCCTTAGTAGCACAGGAAACCCAAGAACAACTAGAGCACTGAACACTTTGGCTTTTGTCTGGGAAGGGCATGCATGCATCTCCATGAATTCTTGAGAATCCTGCACAAGTTAGTTCGGAGGACCTTTTGTTGTTTTTTTAAAGGAGTGCCTGCTTTTTCTTTTTCCCTGTAGACTTTGTCCTTCTGTGTTCACACAACACATTTGCTCTGCAATGTATATATTGCAAACTACATACATGAGGCTGTCACCGGGGTCCTCTGCTCCCTACCCACTGGAATACTTTTGCGTGTTATCACACATTTGCATGTAGCTGTGCACACATGTACAAATGTGGTCCAGGGATTAATGTAAACCTGTGCAGGAAGCAATCTTCGCCAGTTGCCACTTTTGTGTTTGTTGCAGGGAGATGTCTGTGTGTCATTTGCAGAGATCTTCCAGGCAATATGTTTGTGGAGCATTCATTCCACCCTATTCATTTTCGCAAAGTTTGTGCAGACATCACATCAAACAATTGCTATTCTGCCGTTTCCAGTGCATTTCCCTGTCACTTCCCTTACCAAAAGTTCGGGATTTGTGTTAGTTTGTTTGAAGCATGCTTGCTGCACAAGATAATCAAATCTGCTTTAATTGCACAACCTCAATTTGCTGGTATAGGATGGAATCCCACCCACAAAATAGCTACAGTCTGGAATCGGCCACAATTGATGGCAACACATTTAAATGCTGCCACTTAAATTCAGGTGAACCAGCCACAGAAAGCACAGTGTGGTCTTCATGCTTCTAGGCTGGAACCTCATGGAGGAAACATCACGTCGTCTTCTCATTAGTTTGTGTTCTCTTTTTGTATTTTTATGTTGTGAACCACCTTGTGAACTTCGAATGGATTTAATAAATAATATTAATGATACGACCAGATCGTTGCGCATCTGGAACAACAAAAGAACTAGGATCGGTGCTTCATTTCAGTAGGGTTCCAGACATTGCATGGTCTTGGAATGTGGTCCAAAAGTGATGGTTTTCCAGAGATGCTGGAAAAAGCCACTGTCATCTCAGAGCATTCTTCTGAGTCAGTGCACAGAGGATTTCAGCCACACCCAGTCATCGGTAGATAGAGCAAGATAGATATAGGATGGGTGTAAAAACGTAGGCTGGAGGGCTTTAGGAAGATAGGGCAGGGGGATGAAGGAATATACTGAAAGGGGGACTGGATGGTTTTTTCCCAGGGGGTGTACATGTGACAGGAGCTGTAGCTGGGGCTGCTGCACTGAGCTGGAGCTTGCAAGGAGCAGATCAGAAGCTGCTTTATACCAAATCAGACAACTGGTCCATCTAGCTCAGTATTGCCTACCATACACTGACTGCAGGAGCTGTCCAGGGTTTCGGGCAGGGGTCTCTCTCAGCCCTATATCTGGAGATTCTGGGGATTAAACCTGAGGCCTTCTGTATGTAAGGCTCTGCCACTGCACTACAGCCCTTGACCTAGCCATAACCAGATGTAAAGGTAAAGGGACCCCTGATCATTGGGTCCAGTTGTGGCCGACTCTGGGGTTGCGGCACTCATCTCACTTTATTGGCCGAGGGAGCCGGCGTACAGCTTCCAGGTCATGTGGCCAGCATGACTAAGCCGCTTCCGGCGAACCAGAGCAGCGCACAGAAACGCCGTTTACCTTCCCGCTGGAGCGGTACCTATTTATCTACTTGCACTTTGACGTGCTTTCGAACTGCTAGGTTGGCAGGAGCAGGGACCGAGCAACGGGAGCTCACCCCATTGCGGGGATTCGAACCGCCGACCTTCTGATCAGCAAGCCCTAGGCTCTGTGGTTTAACCCACAGCGCCACCCGCATCCCTATAACCAGATGTACCAGATGTTTACAGAGGGCAGCATTTGGCCTGCACATATGTCAGGATGCTGTCAGCGGCTCCTAGCTGGTTGCCCAGGAAAGTACAAAGACAAGGGAAAGTTTCTTACTGTTCTTTTTTTATTTCAATCTTTACAGCAGAGAAAGGCTATAGAGCCCAGCCTCTTGGATAATGGCATTGTCCTGAGTGAATCTCTGCTCTCCCACTTCCTCACTTGTCATTCTCATTGTCTTCTCTATGGGTGCTGCTACGTGCCCTGTCTTTGAGCTCTTTGCTGTCCTACTTTTAAAGCTCACCGTATTCTGAGAGATGGAGGGTCTGGAATGCCTTCTGAGGACAACGTTTCAGCTGAGTGTTGTTCTGGCTGTACCATCATTTCCCAGCTTTCCCCCTCATGTGCCTCTGAGCTGCTACCTCCCTCAACCCCCTGTTTTAATTCTGAACTTCTTCTCTGGAAGGGTCAGGCTGGGGAGGCGGTCTCCACTATTCCTTCTCTGCCCAGTCCCTGACAACACCAGAGGTTCCCAGCCCCTCAGCTGCTCCTTGTGAGTGCAACCTGCTTCCCAAGCTTATTTGGAGTATAAAACGAGAGGCAGCCATCTTTGCTAACTTACTGACCTTTACGGGTACCAAGGGTGGGACAAAAAATGAAATAAACACATAAATGTCTGTGGAGAGTCTGTTGGGTGTAGTGAAGGGTTAACCTTCTGTGTCTCGAGGCTGAGAGGAGGCGCTTGCAAGGGAAGTAAGCCAGGATGTGACGAAAGCAGCTTGGAATGCTGTGAGCTGAGTGAAAAGCGAAAGCAATTTGTTCAGCTGCTGCACTGAGAGAGAAGGACGCAGAGAAAATGCAGCTACAATCTGATGGTCTTTATGAATTGTAAATATGCTACTTTTGAGCAAATAAAGAGATATTAGGACAGAAGAAACGTGTGGGGACTTAATTTACTGCTCTTTCGACACACATGACAGCTGTGCAACTTTGCTATTTGCTAATTGCTTTACGACCTGCAGAGGCTTGCAGGGGGAAGCATGCTGGACGCCGAACAATAAAACAATAAATCTACCTAACAGAGTCCATTTGATTTTCTCTCCATCAACCCACATTTTGGAACTCTGAGCTCTTGTAAGCATACCATACACGAGGCGCTGCAACTCCTAGGGGACGAAGCAGTTTTGGCGCCCCCCCCAATATTTTTGGGAGGGGGCCAGGCCCCCTCAATCTTCAGAGGGTGCTTGGCGCCAGTCCCTGGCTCCTTGAACATCATCAGGACATCACGTGACGTGCGCTTGACATTGGGACATTGTGTTGGGCCTGCTCAATTGTCGTGAGAAGATGGCGCCTCTGCCGTACCCAAACAGAAGAGTGTTTTACCATAACTGCACACGTGGACAGCACCAATGTCCTCATCTAGTGCTATTTTTATAGAAAAAGAGGTGTTGGAACTCTCCCTTGTCCTCTTACGATGGCAATGGAGCCCACCTGAGAGGTGCTGGAACTGAGATCTGGTGAGTTCTGGCTGAAATAAAGCCCTGCCTTCATCCGAGAGGAAATATAATCACTAACCGTAAGTCAGAGGAGCTGTGTGTGCCACCAACCCTGTGATGTGAGCCAAAGACAACTCAGTCCATGCAAATTAACTGTCTGCAGACTGACAGTCAAGTGTTCCCTCCTATCAGCTTGTGGGAACTGGTGGGAGAGTCTAAATTCCATCTCATTTAATGTTCCTCATTGCTTTTCTGCCTTCCATTCAGCAGCTCTCGGACAGAGCCTGCAAGAGGCAGTGGGTGCCTGCAGCTTCCAGGAGCTTGGGTCTTCTGAAGCCAGAGCCCAGCCATGCTTGATGTGAACACGGTTGTGTCAGGGATATTGATCCTTCTCTACCACCTGGGGAAATTTTACAGCCCCTATTTTTGGCAGGACGTGGTCTCCTTCTTTCGCATCCTTCAAACAGGATACAAATGCCACAGGTGTGTCAGCCGCAAACCTCCCATCACCTTACTGGACTTCTTCTTGGCCAAAGTCCAGAAGCACCCAGAGAAGCCCCTGGTCCTCTTTGGAGACGAAAGCTATTCCTACCGAGATATCGACAGGCGCAGCAGTCAGCTGGCCAGAGTGCTCCGGGACCACGTGGGGCTGAAAGAAGGGGAAACGGTGGCTGTTTTCCTCAAGAACGTCCCTGCCTATCTCTGGGTCTGGATGGGACTGGAGAAGATTGGCAGTGTCATGGCGTGTATCAACTATAACATCCGAGCCAAGTCTCTCTTGCATGCCCTCAGCTCCTGCAAGGCCAAAGTGCTACTGACAACTCCAGGTGATGGTGACTGTTGGCTAGTGGGAAATAGCTGCACTTCAGGGGGAAATGAAAGCATGTCTGGACTGCACAGTTAGGCGAGTTTGACCACTGCTCTCCTCTGGGCAAGGAATCCTGGCAGCAGCCCCAGACAGCTGCTTTTGAGTGTCATGAAAGGGAGTGAATAGTTAAATTTGTTTAAATCGTATTTCTGCTTCCAGGGAAAGGGGTTTGTGTAGAATATGCTTCCTCAGGCGCCCCGAAAACTTGGCCAGTTTTCGGTGGGGAGCACCATTTGCAGCTCTTCTTCTTGGAGGAACATTTCTTGGGCTGGATCTGGAAGAGATTGCGACTAATGGCTTGTCCACACTTACCTTTCCTTGGCTCTTTCCAGGCATGGTTGGTGATTTAAAGCTTCGTGTCTGGGTGCCCTTCTTTTTGCTCCAGGGTTTTCTCTGTGAAAACTTGCTCTTCAGTGCTCAATCTGAGCCAACGCCAATCCAGGGAAAATCTGAATTCAGCTTTAAAGAGGAGAAGGTTTTTGCAGGAAAATCTTGGGGGGGGGGGGCGGGACGGCTCAAACACAGAGCCTGTAAACAGTGGGGCAAAAAGTACCGGTATATAAAGTGTATAAGCCCCTTTTATCCTCTCTTTCTTCCCTGCTCTCACTTTTGATGTTGCAGTCCCAGACAAAATGCATGGTCACATTGCTCGATTTTGCAAACTGTGCAAAAAAAAGGCTTGCTAACTTGGGGCTGATCCACACTCCCACCCCCACCAAGTCTTCCCTGCAAAAACCCATTCTTTAAAGCTGAATCAGAGCAAGCATCAATCAGGGTTTTCTGTGGGTTGACGTTTGCTCCCATTGAGCACTAAAGAGCAGGCTTTCATAGGAAAAGCTCTGGAGCAAAATGAATAAATAAATGGGGTGGGGAGGCACCTGGACACAGAGCTTCAAAGCACAGGCCTTGGCTGGAAAGAGTGGAGGAAAGGTAAGAGTGGATAAACCTTCAGCTGATGTTTGCAGAGCTCCCTGTTTTGTGCAAGTTCACTGACTGCCCAGGTGACTAGGGATCCACAGTGGCTTCTCAGCTCCAATTAGGTACATGGGTATACCTCAGGGGACCTCTGGCCTACAGATGTTCTGGACTCCAAATCCTATCTGCCCCAGACAGCATGGCCACTGATCAGAGATTATGGAATCTGTCATGGATGTTGGGAAGGGGTAAGAGACAAGGAGAAGCAGTTTCCTGTGGATGAACCATAATCCCAAGAGTCCATGCTTTCATTTTACTATAAAAAGTAAGTTTTGAGCATTTGTAGAACCTGAGAAATGAGGCCAGGCACTATGCAGGCACTATTCTCATTTCTTTTGTGAGAAACTAGCGTGCCCCTGCCTTTCAATACAGTTTTCCGCTGAACAGTTACAGAAGTCATTGACATTTAGGAAAGGAGACCTAGCCAAGAAGACAAAGGGCACCTCTAGTCCATCAATATTTGGAGGGAGGGATTCAAGAACATACTGGAACTTTTAAGTTTGCACAATTAAAGTGGGTTAAAGGGCACTGTTCGGAAAGCACAACAAATCAACTTTTAAAAAGATTCACGCTTTTTGCAGCTTGGAAAGCGATGGAGAAAAACATTGGAAAGTGTGGAATGAATTAGGGAATGGTTAAGGGGAAAATGTTAAAACACCTCACAAGAAAATCAGGATAAATGCAGAAGAACGCCATTGAAAACACAACTGGGAAAGCCTGCAAACACCCCATGCTGCCTCTTTTGGTGACCTTTTGGGTCACGTCCGGATTTGACGCAATGTGTGTATATACGGTTGCATGCATATTGAACATGCGTAAATGGGGAGTTGCCTGTATTTGAAGATATCCGTGCCTAAGGTTAGGAAGTAAGCGTCAATAAAAACCTCACCTCTTTTCATGCTCTCTTGAAGATTTTAAGGCCGCCATTGAGGATGTCCTTCCCGCTCTAAAGAATGAAGGAGTCCAAGTTTTCTGCCTAAGCGAAGACTCCCCAACCGAGGGTGTGGAAGCTTTGCTTGGGCAGATCCAATCCAGCTCAGCCGAGCCTGTGCCCATTTCCTTCAGAGCCAACGTAACTGCTGAATCTACATCCCTGTATATTTTCACCTCTGGGACTACAGGTGAGGTCACAGTGATGGGTGAGGGGGGCAATTATGTCTGGCAATCCCATCTTCCTTCTACCTGCCCTACTTGTGTATGGGGTCATTAAGGGAGGGGTAGTGCCTTTGATAAGGGACGCGGGTGGCGCTGTGGGTTAAACCACACAGCCTAGGACTTGCTGATCAGAAGGTCAGCAGTTCAAATCCCCGCGATGGGGTGACCTCCCGTGCTCGGTCTCAGCTCCTGCCAACCTAGCAGTTTGAAAGCACGTCAAAGTGCAAGTAGATAAATAGGTACTGCTCCGGTGGAAAGGTAAACGGCGTTTCCGTGCGCTGCTCTGGTTCGCCAGAAGCAGCTTAGTCATGCTGGCCACATGACCCGGAAGCTGTACACCGGCTCCCTCGGCCAATAAAGCGAAATGAGCGCCGCAACCCCAGAGTCAGCCACAACTGGACCTAATGGTTAGGGGTCCCTTTACCTTTACCTTAGTGCCTTTACCTTAGTGCCTTTGATAGGGAATCTGTTTGCTCCTTCTGGGGTAGTTTGTCCCACCTTTGGTCCCCATCTTGCACTCAGCTCTCACCTGTGGCTCCTAGAATCTGTCAACATGGGAAGGAATGTATTGGGATCCCAGCATGTTACGCTTTCCCACTGGACGGAGTCATTTGTGGTTGTTAAATGAGTCCTTCTCTTTTTCCTCAAGGGCTACCGAAAGCTGCTATCCTTTCCCAGAGGAAGATGCTGATAGCATCCAACCTATCAGGCCACCTTGGGGCCGGCCCCAAGGACATCGTCTACATCCTGCTCCCTCTGTACCACTCAGTTGCACTCTTAGTTGGGGTTGGAGGATGCCTGGAAGCTGGTATGTATGGAATGTCCACTCACACACCTCCTCTGCAAGAGGGTGATAGGTAGAGATGGGTTGATAAGTGCATAGACATACACACATCCATGAGTGCAGATGTACTCTCAAGTTAGACTGAGAGACTGGCCCAAGATCACCCAGTGATCTTCAGGGCGAGTGGGGACCAGAGCCCTGGTCTCCCGGGTCCTAGTCTGATGCTCTAACCACTACACCACACAACCTCTCTCCACATAGGATCCTTCCTCACCACATATTTGCACTTTATACATTCAAAACACCTGCCACCATTTAATTCTGAACATTCTTTCATCCACCCATGGGAAGAAGCGGACCAGGAAACCTACGTGTGAAAGTCAAACATATTCAGGCTGTGTACATAACATGATTTTAAAGCGCACTGCTCCCCTGCGCCAAAGAACCATGGGAACTGTAGTTTACCGCTGACAGAGCTACAGTTCCCAACCTCCTTAACGCAATCCTCCAGCCCTGTTTCAGCTGCTGTCTGGCTCAAGAAGCAAGGAGGCTTTTGTATCTGTGAGGGTTCACTGCACATTTAGAGCAAATCCCTTAGTAGCTGCATTTTGCTCCAGCTGAAGTTTCCAGACACTTTCCAGAGGCAGCCCAACATATGACTTACATTGCAATAATATAATGCATGGCACTTAGAACTTCATCTGCCTATACCAGTGCTCACAACAAGGCCACACCTAAGCCACTCTCTCTTTATTCCCACAAGGGTCTACGTTTGTCTTGAAACCTAAGTTCTCCGTTTCTGAGTTCTGGAATGACTGCAGACGATATCGCGTCTCCCTGATCCTGTATGTGGGAGAAATGATGCGCTACCTGTGTAATGTGGAAAAGGTAATCGTTGGCGAGAGAGGCCAGTTTTGTTGTTGCGGCAAAAATGTTGCCAAGAATTCAGATGGATTGTCCATTTGGATTCACAGCTGAATCCAAAAATATAGATGGGGGCTGCACCTAGAGGTCAAAGTCAAGAGCCCCACACAGCCAGGAAGCTCGCAAATGACCACCTGGAGAGCAGCCATCTTCTTTTCTCATTGCTTTTAAAAATCCATTTTATTGCCGAGGAACAGCTAGTGAAGCAGGTACACAGTTGCAGGCACTCATTTTATTATTATTATTTAACTTAAAAATATATTCATCCTTTTCTAGGCAGCAGTGCCCCTGGTGAATGCCACCCCATCTCCAAAAAACAAACAAACAAACAAAACCCTCAAATGCTCCAGAAGCTGCATCAATTTCCAGGGTAGTTTATGGCCCTGTCAGTTTCTTTTGCTTGGTTTTTAAAAGAAGGCCCATGGGCCCTGGCAGCTACCTGAGAACCAGAATTGGAAACCATGGTTTGGAAACCTTTGGTGACATTGGTTGCCTTCTATCTGTGGCACAGCACATAAATTGTGAGATTTGTTCCTGCAAGAGCCAGTGAAGGCCGCCAACTTGGGTAGGCAAATTCTGCTGTTGCGTTCTCTTGCTGCTTGTTGGCTTCCCACAGGTATCTAACAGATCAAGATAATAATAATAATAATAATAATAATAATAATAATAATAATAATTTATTATTTATACCCTGCCCATCTGGCTGGGCCTCCCCAGTCACTCTGGGTGGCTTCCAACAAAATATTAAAATACAGTAATGCATCAAACATTAAAAGCTTCCCTAAACAGGGTGTCTTCTAAAAGTCTGGTAGTTGTCGTTCTCTTTGACATCTGGTGGGAGGGCATTCCACAGGGCAGGTGCCACTACCGAGAAGGCCCTCTGCCTGGTTCCCTGTAACTTGGCTTCTCACAGTGAGGGAACCGCCAGAAGGCCCTCGGCACTGGACCTCAGTGTTTGGATAGAATGATGGGGGTGGAGACGCTCCTTCAGATATACTGGACTGAGGCCGTTTAGGTGTTGTACCAGGTGGGCCACTGCCCTGATTCAAGGCTATTCTTATGGCATACTGTTTAAATAACAGCCCCTCAGCTGCAGTCTGAACCAGGTGAAGTTTCCAAAGAGCCTTCCTAGGAAGTCATTCACAGAGCACATTTCATTAACCTGATATGTTTGTTATCAGGAGGACAGGAAGCCGGCACTGGTCAGTGTGGCATCATTGTTAGAGTGTTGGACTATGACCTTGGGACGGGGGTTCGAATCCTCACTCAGCCATGAAGCTAACTGGGTGACCTTGAGCCAGTCACGATCTCTTAGCCTAACCTACCCCACGAGGTTGTTGTGAAGATTAAATGGGGAGGAAGAGAACCATGTCCATCACCTTGAGATCCTTGGAAGATAAAGGTGGCATAGAAATGTATAATAATAATAAATATTAGCAAAGATCATTTAGTTCAGCAGCGACCCCTCTGACATGCTGCTTTGCAGACAGACAGCGACCGAGACCACTGTGTGCGAATGGCAATAGGCAACGGCATGCGTGCGGAGGTCTGGAAGAAGTTCCTGCACCGATTTGGACCCATCCAAATCTATGAGATCTATGGAGCGACAGAGGGGAACATCGGGTTTTTTAACACCACAGGAAAAGTCGGAGCTGTGGGAAGGTCCCACTTCCTCTACAAGGTAATGAGAACTAAACTAGAATATCTCAGCAAACCCTGTTTAGATACACATTTTTATACAGATTGGTTTCAGTGAGGAAAGAACCCTTCTCCTGGGTTTGGTACAGTCCAAATTTGTGCATTGCAGATGAAGCCATGAAGTCACTTCTTCAGAGTAGGCCTATGTTCATCACCGCTGTTTGTCCAGCCCTTTGCTGCCCGAAGCAGAGCTCAAATGATGCCCCTCCCTGTGTGTTTTGGGGCTCTACGATCTTACATGAAATTGCAATTTCACACATGTTTGGGCACCATTCTGAGAGCACGGAGACCAAAACCAGGATATCCTGATTTAATCAAGGCAGTTGAGGCGTATGAAATAGGAGTCTCCTAACAACTCTCAGCACCCTTAATAAGCTAGAGTTTCTCCCAGGATTCTTTGGAAGTAAGCCATGTGTGTTCAAGTGGTATAATAATGCTTGAAATATATAAGGTAAAAGGTAAAGGTAAAGGACCCCTGGATGGTTAAGTCCAATCAAAGGCGACTATGGGGTGCAGCACTCACCTCGCTTTCCAGACTGAGGGAGACGCTGTTTCGGCTGCAGACAGCTTTCCAGGTCATGTGGTCAGCACGACTAAACCACTACTGGCTCACAGATGAGTGCCAGTGCACAGGGAAATGCAGTTTACCCTCCCGCCACAGCGGTACCTATTTATCTACTCTCACTACTATGCTTTCAAACTGCTAGGTTGGCAGAAGCTGCGACAGAGCAATGGGAGCTCACCCCGTCGTGCAGATTCAAACTGCCAACTTTCCAATCGCAAGCTCAAGAGGCTCAGTGGCTTAGGCCACAGCGCCACCCACATCCCTCTCTTGAAATATATGGAGTGGATGTGGCCCAAGTCTTGCAGCACACAATCCAGAACTTGTTATTCCTGCTGCACTCTATTCACAGGGCATGTCAGGACTGACCACCTCTCCTCTCTCTCTCTTTTTTTTTTAAAATGATATTTATTGAAAAAATTTTAGAATTACAAAAGAAGACAAGATAGATAAAGAGAAAGAAAAAACAAAGAAAAAACAAATCACATCAAACAATACAAATTAATCAAAAGACAAAAATATACCACAAACATTTAAAAACAAATCCATTATTCTCAAATCCTTAACTGTCATTACCTTATTTCTTTGACCTCCTCCTCCTCCCTTTTTTGGTATCCTAGTTATTAATTGTTGCAGCAAATCCTTTCCATATTTCATAATATTCTGTCATTACATTACCTTAATCTATTTTAACCTTATCTTACTATAGAAAACCTTAAAACCTAAAACTTAAATCTTATTTTTACCAACTTCTCATAACCATAATATTCTCACATAATTCTTTAAACATTTTTGCTAAAGCCAAATAATTTCGTTCCAACATTTTTCTAACATTCATCAGTTTTATAAAACAATCCTAATAATAAAAAAGAAATAAAAAGACAATCCAATCTTCATCCAGCGTCTCTTCCTCCTGGTCCCGGGTTTTGTCAGTCCTTTTTATCTCATCAATCTAGCGCATTAACCTGGTAATCTTATATCCGAGGCCCTTAAGTCCCTTCCATGTCCCTTCCGCGGCTCTTCTTCATATTTATAACTGTATTTTCCTTTGTCTCCTGCTCCTTTCACTCGTGGGAACTCCAGCTAAATCAGCCCCTTTTCCATAGTCCACACTAAACTCAACATGTTTCAAAGTCTCTCCAAAATTAAGAGCCCCCACAATCCCAAACATCTCACGGCCCATTGCCAGACTTGAAAAGTTCAAACATCCCTGCATAGGGGGGTCTATCCAACCCCCCATTTCCAAAGCAAACCAAACTTTATCTTTCCAAATCTGGCTTTTTCCAAGTTCATTTGTCAAATCCAAAAGCTCATGTTCCTGCTGGGCCACAGCTCCCTCCATCTCTGGCGCCCAAGATTCAGCAACATCCTCTTCCCTCATCTGTTCTGTCAGGGCACACTCCTGATTTAATTCCTGAGTGGGCTCCATGTAATTTCCCACTGCCTGTTCAAAATTTTTGATTGCATCAGTCATCAAGTCCGTCTTCTCATGTAGCTGTTCCAGTAGGGCACTTGTTTTACAGAGAGCACACAGCAGAGCTTCTGAATACATTGTCCTGCAAGGTCAGAAGTCTATTCCCAGGATCGTAATCTGTAACAGCTGCAAGCTCCCCGATTCAGAATTAGTTACAGTTTCACAGGCTCCCTCTAGGGGAAAAACTTCTATTTGTTCTTTTCTTTTAAAGACAAATCTAACAACAAAGTTTCCTTTTTCAGATATTTTGTCAATGTTTGTTCCTTTAAAATGCGAAGGGGAACAATGGAATCACGATGTTTCTCTTCTTTTAGCTATCTGTCAAAAACGTTTGTCTCTGGTCAATGAGCTTCAAAAAACGTCAGTCCTGACACCCCGCTCCAGGATCAAGACGGTGGAAAGTTACTTTACTTTACACTTGCTTCTGCAGGTTTAGACAGTTCAGAAAAAATCCCCCCTCTTCTCCTGCTTCCGAAGGGGGTTCAGCAATCTTAAATGATGAAAGTTAGTCCTTTACAAGCGATTTTCTGAGCTCTAGTTTGCCATGTCTTTGCTTTAATCTATCTACAAAGAAACGGAAGGCTGACTTCCTGTTTAGACCTTCCCGTTTCAGTGCCAAATTGAAATAAACTTTTAAGTCCAATTTTCCTTTCTGCACACAAGTCCTTATTTAGAGTCCAATTGTCCAAAATTTAAGTACTCACGGGTGATTGTTTTAGAAGCCAAATTGTCCCAGGAAAAAGGCAGCGCTCTCCGGCAACGGCTGTGCGGCTTCGCTCCACGGAAGAAGGAGTTAACTCTCAGCACTGCTCCACTTCCCCCTCTTCGCTCCGGAGCCCGTTAGTGGGTTCCTTTGCGGGTTGGGGGGGCGCTAAAGGTGCCCGCCGAGTCCCATGGTCACAGGCTTCATCCGCCTGTGATTTTTGAAAGGGTCCCCGCTTCGCCGTAGCGGAAAAGACCCGTTTCCCGTGGAGCTGGTCCCTCCAGATCAGAGGGAATCCGCCATTACCGATGGCGCCACCCCGGAAGTTTTGACCACCTCTCCTCTCAGACAGCTAGAAAGCAGTAGAGAGAATGCAACACGAAGGTGAAGCAAGATAAAAGCCCACAGCAGGGGAAAGTACAGGGAAAGGTACCAAGAATTTTGTCGACAACCCCCAAGCAAAAATGTACGACTTGGAAAGATAGTTTGTTGGCATAGTGCAGCCTCCGCAGGTTGCCCACTGCCCAGCTGTTCTTGCTGAGGTTCAAGCCTGATCTCGTCCATTATGCCACTCAACGAATCGTGGCAAAGAGGGGCATGGCTGCCAAGCCACACTGCCAACAGACAAAGAAGCAGCTCCAGTGGCACCTTGCTGCATTTCCTTACTGTGTGCCGAGAAAGGGAAACCCTTTTCTCAGAACTCCGCAAGGAAGCATGTCTGGTGAGGCATTTGGGCATATCTGGATTTGGGCCCGTCCACTTTGGGCTTTGCCCCCCAACAACAGCACATCATTAAACTCAAATGAGGCAATGCAGGCAAGAAAGGGGTTCTCTGCCCCTGAGCTTCAGCTGCTACCAGAGGAACTCTAACCAGTGAGGTACAGCAGCAATGTTGAGGGACCTTTGGCTCTCCAGATGTTGATGAAGTATAACTCCCATCAGCCCTGGCAAGCATGGTCAGTGGCCAGGGGTGATGGCTGCAGTTCATTCAGCGACACCTGGAGGACCAAAGGTTCTCGATACCTAGTTTAGATCAAGGAGACCAGACTAAAATCTCTGCTCAGCTGCAAAATATTAAATATTATTATTATTATTATTATTATTATTATTATTATTATTATTAGCTATAAGCTCCCTGTTCCCTTGGGTCATTCATAAAATATATTCCAGTCCATGTGTAGCCTTGAATTTCAGCCTTGTGGGATCATGTTTCCATTTCCTGCTTGTTCCACCTCAGAAACTGGCAAAGTACGAAATCATCAAATATGACGTTGAAAAGGATGAGCCTGTGAGAGACAAGAACGGACATTGCATCCCAGTGACCCCAGGTAAGCCAATAAAGTTGGCATTCAGACAGGAACTGGGCTTTGTATTGTCAGAGTCCTAACTCACAAGAAGGTACTGTACATGGCCTCTAGACTGTGGAAATTGCTCACATCTCTCCCAGCAAGAAAGATGGCAGAGTCCCTTCTTCACACATAGAACAGAAGAAGAATCATTGAAAGAGGAAGTGTGAGCCACTCCTGCTTTGTGTTAAATGTGAAGAGTCTTCATTTTACAGGGCCACCAGAAGGGATGGATGCATCTGTCAGTTTCAACTTCAGTTTCTCATTTCTCCAGTCTTAGGTTGCTTCCTGTTTAATGAGTGTTCATCCAGTTTTGTTTGCAGGGAGATTAGATGCCATTGGTTATTTAATTCATCCTTATTTGTTTGCAGGGAGATTAGATGCCATTGGTTATTTAATTCATCCTTATTTATTTGCAGGGGTGTTAGATGACATTGCATCAAAGCCAGCTTAAATCTTCACTTTCTAGTCCATTTCCCCCATTCCTTTCCTTTGTGCAAAAAGTTCAATATTTGTGGAAAGCAGGTTTGTTGCACAAGACCTCCTATAATTCCACAGACTGGATTTGTTGGTATGTGATTGAATCCTACCTGAAAATAGGATTCTATATCAGCTAAATTTTATTTTATTTTTTAAATTTTATTTTAATTTTAAAATTATATTTTATTTTTTAAAAGCCGCACAAAAATTTGTTTCTTCTATTGTACACATGATTGTGTGGGATTTCCCCTAATATTTGCATTTTGGAAAGTAATTTTTTGTAACATAATGAGTTTCTGGCCTGTCTTGAATCTACTGCTCAGGGATTTCACAGGGTGGCCCAACTGAGGCCAGCATCCTGCCAATTCAGCACTGTCTGCAGCAATCAGGTGTGGTGATGTGCTTCACCCGATTTAGGGACGAATGCCTGAGGAAACAGTGTCCTAAAGCAGAGTCACTCGCATGTGCTCCCTTGCTGTGCATTCTGACAGCTGCTAGAGATGCCAGCAGTGGCAGATGTCAGTGGCAGCAAGGAGAACGGTAGGAAGGCTGGTCCTCTGTAGCATTGGCTGACTCCCACCGGAAGCACCCAGAGGCAGTCGTCTTGCCTGTGGTTCTTTGTTGGAGGATGAATATTAGTTCGTTCAGCTTCATTTCCTTTTCTTTTCCCAGGTGAGACAGGCTTGTTTGTGTCCAAAATCACTGGGCTTGCCCCATTCTATGGCTACGCAGGAGACCGACAGAAGTCGGAGAAGAAGATTCTCCGGGATGTTTTCACCAAAGGAGACTGCTACTTCAATAGCGGTGACCTTCTGATGGAAGACCAAGAAGGCTTTCTATATTTCAAGGACCGGGTAGGAGATACTTTCCGGTGAGTCCGGCCACACAGGTTCTGCGGCTGATATTCTGACAAATGTAGAACAGGCAGTCAGCACCAGTGTTTCATTAGCATAGGTAGCATTCACAAATGCTGGCAAACACCTAAGAGCTAGTGTAGGGCAGTAGCTCAGAGTGTCATGAAGCATCTAGTTCAAATCTCACCACCGTTGTCCCTAGGTGTAATTTGGGTATAATAAGGCTCACTTATCTTATAGATGTTGTTGCAAGGTGGGGATGGGAAACCTGTAATCCTGCAGGTGTTGCTGTACTACAGTTCCCATCTTCCCTGACCACTGGCCACGCTGGTTGAGGTTGATGGGAGTTGAGGTCCAGCCAGATCTGGAAGGCCACAGGCTCCCTATTGTCGCCGTAAGGATCGCAACAAGATCTTGTAAGTGAAGAGTTCTGAATGAATGAAACCAGTATCCAAAAACTAATAAGTAATTTTATCTCGTTATTGATAGCAAAACATCTAGCCCATCCTTCATCAATGGTTAGTCACTGCTTCAATGAATATGACTGGATCTACGTACTTTTGCTCTTTCTACTGATGCTTGTTCATTGTATTTTAGGGCTGGTTGTTTTGATACTGTTGTTAGTCGCCCAGGCTATTCTAAATAAATAGCAGGAAAGGAAGATGCACTTAAATAAGGAAGATCCCAGGGTGCGTTACAAGGCAATAATACAGTAAGGGCCCCTCTAGACCAGTGTTTCTTCGTGGATATATTCTGCACAATGCCATTGGTGTAATAATAGCGCATTAGTGGTGGATTTATACTGGACCATGCGCACATCATTTTGCTTTATGAGTTGTTCTGCGATGCTCCCCGACGTTAATGCATCATCTGGAAGGGATCCAGCAAAAGCTGCACTCTGCCAAGCATTTGTGGCATTAAAGGTTACTGGATTAGAAGCAGGAAGTTACGGGAGCTTTAACAGTTGGGAACAAAGCCCTGTGTCCTCCCTGAAACTTTTGAAGGCACAAACAGTATTGAAAGAGGGAGCATGTATAACTGCCCTGATACCGTCATGAGCACAAAGTATGTATACAATTAAAAGGGTGTTTGGAGGGCCCCAAAACAACCCCTATATCAAACCAACACAGCACAACTTACGGTATATAAGCTGGCAAGGAACCACAAACTGGCCTCCTCGCTTGCGCCAATGACAAAATTCCCGATTATGAACGAAAGGAGGGATGTTCACTTTTACCAAACCCATCTGGGAATAATCTGTTTTGTCCATGCAGCTGGAAAGGGGAAAACGTGGCCACTACAGAAGTGGAGAACACCCTGGCACCACTGAGATTCATCCAGGAAGTCAATGTCTATGGGGTACCAGTGCCAGGTGGGTCTGAAATTCCATTGGATCAAAACCCGTCTTTCTGCTGCCACGTTTAGCCTCCAAATATATGGCAAGATTATCCGCTCACCAGCAACAAGGTTCAGTCGCTCATGAACGGCTGCAGCTCTTAGGTCATGTGGATTCTGTGAACCGATTTGTGAAAGGCTGGTAGCGGATATCCCCAGACTGCAACTGAATCACTCTTGCAAGATAGTGGTCATGCCCACAACATACATTTAAAGAAGCCTATGTTTAAAGAGTCCGTGTGGTGTAGTGGCTAGAATGCTGGACTAGGAGCTGGGAGACCAGGGTTCAAATCCCCACTCAGTCATGAAGCTCACTGAAGTGACCTTGGGCCAGTCTCTCACTCTCAGCCTCACTTACCTCAAAGGGTTGTTGGGAGGATAAAATGGTGTCGGAGCCAGCCGTTACAAATGGCGAAGTTTAGCATAAAATAAAGACACAGAGAGCCAGCAATATTTTCATGATGGTAGGAGCAGCTCCTTTCGAACTTCCCTCTCCTCCTCCTGCAGCTTCTTTTTTTATCCTTTGTCTCTCTCCAGCCGCATGGCTGTTTGCCAATGTCTCATGTTACCTCATCCGGTCAAGGCTTTTATTGCCCCCTTCACCATATAGGGTCAATCACTGCCCAGAGGAAACACAACTGCATTTAAGTCAATACATTCCAATACATTGTAAAGCTCAGAGTGCTGGTCAGCCGAGGTCAGGGGGCACCCTGCAATATTACAAGCCTTTACCGTGGCTTTATGGCTCCCACATGCCCTCTTTCTTTATTTTATTAATCAGAGTCAATACGGTTATTGAGCGCGATAAGCGACTCTTGTGACACCGGAAGTGGGCTGCGGACTGGAGAACCATGCAGTACATATAGAAATTAAAGAAGGAATACATTGTATACAGCAACACTAAATAATGCAAATAACTACTATAATGATCACTAAAATCAATAAATGTCGAAGCCAACTTCCATCTGGAAGCCAAGAATATAAGAATTCTGATTCCAAGCTGCATGGTAGGCTTCCTGTAAGAGAACAAGAGCTATTAAAAGTGAATTTCAATGTATATTTGCAGTTTGGATATATGCCCCATGATTCTTCCCCCTCCTTAATTTGAAAATAAATGGGGGGAGGCTCATGGAGGGTTAATTGTACTGGAGGCCAAAAAGTTTGCTTAGGGGATATAATATTAGTAAATTGAAAAGATCCATTGATAGGCACACCATGAAGCATTATGCCGGAATGACTGGCATACACACCCAACATTTAGAAGCATGCAATAAACTGGCAAACATAATCATATCTTGTACAAAAATATCATCCCGCCATATCTTATGATAATTTTCTCCCCTAAAAGTCTTATTCAACAACGCTGTTCTTCTAGTTCGAAAGTGGCTGAGCCGTGGATACTGCTAGCCAGAGTAGGATTCTGGCGACAGCTGCTTGCCAGCCGATGAGGTGAAATATGGTGGTTTCAACTGGACTGGGTCGTCTGCTGGATCCTTGTATAACAGTGCAGCAAAGGATGGCAAGGCAAATGGTTAGGAAGGCAAACACTGCCAGATGCAGCTCGTGTGCAGCACCTCTAGGTGGCGCATGCGGAAAGGTTTCAATGCTTCACCCACAAAATGTTGACAAAGTGTAGGGGAGTTCCGCATGCCTTGAGGCAGGACAACCCACTGATATCACTGGGTGGGCTGCGAATTGTTATATACTGGCAATGTAAAAGCAAACCGTTCCCTGTCTGCTGGAGCCAGTGGGATGAAGATGGTTCAATGTGGCCGAAAGTCAATTGTTCAGAAATAAGCTGGTGCCGCTGTTGCGGATTTTTCTTTTGGTAGAGGCCACTGTTCTACCCCCACTGGCGTATCGGTGATCCTGGTTTGCCACACTGGAAACAAGTTGTATCGGTGGCTACAGGCTGGTTTTCATTTAGCGCTGCTGCCAGCAGATGAGCCTTGTGGGTGGCTGTACCTACAGACTGACAAATGTGAAGCATGGCTGCTGTGTCTGTGGCAGGATTGTGTATTATCGGTCGTAACGCAACCTTTCAATCCTCATTGGCATTTTCAAAGGCCAATTGTTTGATAATTATTTGTTTGGCTTCAGGATTTTCAATTTGGCGACTCACTGCTGTAAGCAGCCTATCCATAAAGGAAGAATATGATTCTCTTGCCTCTTGCCTGATTGAACCCCACCTTGATTGAATACTGGTGGGTTCTGGGATTTTTCTCATTGCTTGTTTAGCAGCAAGAGCAGTGTCCCTCAATAAGATTTGCAGCACTGTGGCTTGCACTGAAGCTTGAGCGAAGGGACCACGCCCCAACATGGCATCTAAGACGTCTGCGAGGGTAACATTTGGATTATTTCCTCTGACTTGTTGTAACAAGGCTGGAGCATAAGCACGGCAGGCAGTTTCCCATTCGTGGGCAAACAAAACACCAGCTGATGGGGGCAACACTGTATGGGCCAAAAGCTTGATGTCCTCTGGAACCAATAGCAGGGCTAATGTGGCTTCTAAAAGCGCCTGCGTATATGGGGCTTGGAGTCCATTGGCCTTTACTGACTGTTGCAGCTCTTTCAAAATCTTAAAGTCAAAAGGTTGGTGTTGGGCTTGGGTGCCTGCTGGAGCACCAGCAGGGGGCACAATAACAGGGAATGCCATAGTATCCTGAATTAAGGAACAGCCAAGGACTGCACGTTGAAAAGGTTCTGGTTCTGGTTCTGCCGCTGAAAGAGCAGGATCATTGCCATCCAGACCACGGTATTTTTGCAGGATTGGGTCCTCAGGTGAGGAACTGTAGTCCGGAGGTTTGGGGTCTGGAGCTGCTGGCAAAGCAAGTATTGGAACAGACTCTAACACAGCAGGCTGAATTAAAGAAGCTGAAGGTTGTGTTGGCAATGCAGCCATGGAGATATTTTTTGGTGATAAAGAGTCCATGGCGTAACGAACCTTGTACCATGCATTTAGAATCCGAAGACTAATGCTGAGGTGCCCATGAAAATGTGCCCCAATCTTGTCCCAAAGTTTTAATTCCCAAGTCCCATCTGCAGGAAACCAGGGGGAATGCTCTTCGATGGCCAGAATGAGCTGCATCAAATCACCCTCCGGAACTTCCAATTCGTTGGAGGAGAGGAGAAATTTTAAGTCTTTTAAAAATTTCTGTTGGGGAGCAGACAAAGAGCTGCCCATTTTCCTAAAATCAATATAAATAAGAAGGGATCGAACTCACCGGGATCTTTTTAAGATGATTAGCGCTTGAAGCCCTTGCCGGGCGTGGTAAGCCGATGATATCCTTTGCTAGGATCGGAAAACCTCACACGGTCTCCTTTTAAAATCCTCTTAGTCTGCCTCAGACTGTTTCCTTTAAGTTGCCTCACACGGTTTTCTTTTAAAATCCTCTTAGTCCTCAGACGTATTCTTTTATTCTGCCTCACACGGGGCACCACTTGTCGGAGCCAGCCATTACAAATGGCGAAGTTTAGCATAAAATAAAGACACAGAGAGCCAGCAATATTTTCATGATGGTAGGAGCAGCTCCTTTTGAACTTCCCTCTCCTCCTCCTGCAGCTTCTTTTTTTATCCTTTGTCTCTCTCCAGCCGCATGGCTGTTTGCCAATGTCTCATGTTACCTCATCCGGTCAAGGCTTTTATTGCCCCCTTCACCATATAGGGTCAATCACTGCCCAGAGGAAACACAACTGCATTTAAGTCAATACATTCCAATACATTGTAAAGCTCAGAGTGCTGGTCAGCCGAGGTCAGGGGGCACCCTGCAATATTACAAGCCTTTACCGTGGCTTTATGACTCCCACAAAATGGGGAGGAGGTGAAGCTTGTTCACCGCCTTGAGCTTCTTAGAGGAAAGGTGGGATAGAAATGAAATAAACAAAACATTTAACACACACTTAAAGCACATGGCTTCCTCAAGGAATCCTGGGAAATGCAATCTGTTAGGGGTTCCAGGAATTTTAGTTCCCGGGATTCTTGGGAGGGAGGAATCATAGAATCAACAAATTATAGAGTTGGAAGGGAACACGAGAGTCATCTAGTCCAACCCCCTGCAACGCAGGAAGCTTTTGCCCAACGTGGGGCTTGAACCCATGACCCTGAGATGAAGAGTCTCATGCTCTACCGAAGTGTGTTTTCAATGTACCGTGTGGGAATGTGACAATCTGGAGGCAGTCCTGCATTTCTGTGCTGGTTGTGAAGGAAAGGTTCTTGTTTTCCTCCACGGCTAGCTCAAAAACCAAAATGGTCAATGTAGAAAATCCAAAAAAAAATTGGAAAAAGGAAAAGATCAGAAGAACAAGAAACTGGATCATTCATATGGCAGGGTAAGCCTGTGTGAATTGGAGTGTTTTTAGCTAGCCAGTCCACAGCTGTTCTAGGTGCATTCATTTACATGTGACATGGCTTTCCACACACACCGCCAACCGGTTCCTTCTGGTTTGTTCCAGGCCATGAAGGAAAGACTGGGATGGCTGCAATCTGCCTTAAGAAGGGGCACTCCTTTGATGGGCAGAAGCTGTATGCGCACGCCAAGGATTTCCTGCCAGCCTATGCCATACCTCGCTTCGTTCGCATCCAGGTACGATCCCTTCTTGTCACTTTCCTCTCTGTGCTTGCTGCCTTGAGAAACCCCATAGGTCAGCCTCCTACCCTGGGAATTCTTCCCTTCCCTGCCTCTCACACTTCATCAGCCATCCATCACCTTCTTGCTCAGCTGTTTCTCAATCAATGAAGCACCAGGGGGCAAGACCATGCGGAGAGGAGGCTGGCTGGGTACAATATGTCTTTGTGAGCCTGTGCATGAATGGGCATGTGTGTTTGAGAGAGTGTGGGGCACGGATTCCTCTATAGTGTCCTTTCCTGACTTTTCGGCTGTTTCCTAATCAGAGGAGCAGCAAGGGGAGGGGAAAGGGTGTGTGTGTGTGTTGCATGAATGTGTGAGTGTGAAAGGGTGTAGAATGACCTCATCCATGGCCAGTTCTGCACGCACACACACACACACACACACCCAAGAGAATGAGACCCTCCAGCTGAAAATGCATTCCCTGCCTATAGACAAGCACTGACCCAGGGCAGGCCAAGTCAGAAGACATAGTCTCATCCAGACTTTCTTTTGTGCCACACTTTCCAAGTACAGGTCTGTGCTTTAAAACTCTGCGTCCAATAAGTTTTTGTTTTTTTGTTTATTTTCTCGGGGGGCTCCCTCCCCCCCCCCCGGGAAAACCTGTTTTTTACCGCTGAATCAGAGCAAACATTAATCCATGGAAACAGGGGTGCTAATTTGAATAAAATATGGGGGGCAGGTATTGTATGAGAGGGAAGGACGTTGGCCCCTAGGAGTTGGCTCCTATGCTTGGAAGCCCCGATTGTCATTTCCTCTGAGCTTTCCCAGGGAAAGTGCCAGGATAAAAACAACAACACTCAAAGACAGCCAGCACAAAAGGAAATCCGGATGAGCCCTGAGTCATAGATCCATGTTGTTTGGCCTTCAGCAACCGGGTGTAAATGAACAGAGTGAAATCCACTCTCGTTATCTCTAATGAGATGCTTAGGATGCCAGCTCCCTAGCAGAGCTCAGAGCCTGTTCTTGTACATCTGTCTGCCACTGCTCAAAACACTGACTCCCTTGGCCTGCTCTAGGAATGTCTTGGAGCGGGGTGTCGTTGGTTGTTCTCTACTCACTGCACTGCTCTTTCCCATGCAGGACACCCTGGAGATCACGGGCACTTTCAAGCAGATCAAAAGCCAGTTGGTAAAGGAAGGATTTGACCCTGCTGTCATCAGTGACCCCCTCTTCTTCCTTGATGACTCTGAAGAATGTTACATGCCCTTGACTCCACAGATCTTCAGCACCATTGCAGGGAGGAAGCTGAAGCTGTGAAAAGGAGCAATTGTCTCTTTAACTGCCCTAGTGGCAACCTAGGAACAACTATAGTGTTGAGCTACTTGGCTTCTGCCTAGGAAAGAGGGGATAATCTACTGCCACGGCAGAGCTTTCCAAACTTTTCATGTTGGTGACACACTTTTTAGACATGCATCATTTCATGACACAGTAACTTAGTTCTACTAGCAAACCAGAGGTTAGCGAGGGAAGCATTCACGTGACATACCTACACACTGCAGCCGACACACAAATGTGTCACGACACATGGTTTGGAAAGCTCTGTGCCATGGTTCTCAAAGTGGGCAGTGAGCCACCCCGGGTTGTGGTGAAGGGATTACACGGTGGGTGCTAAGAGACAAGTGGGGGTGGCCCTGGAGGTGTAAATGACTATTGGATTTTGAACAAATGTGGGGGGAAAATTTCCCCAAAATTTTATTAGTTTTCCACATTTATGACAAATATAACATATGAAACACACAAAACACATTACAATACTAAAAAAAAAGGGGGGGGAACACATACCGTATTCTTTCTTATTTTAATTTCCATTGTTAAGTGACTTCCTCAAATCCCCCCAACTGAATTTCATTATATCACCTTGTAACAGTTCTCCCAAACATCTTTCTAGATAATTAGTTCCTTCAATTGACTATATTCAACTCTTTCCTTATTATCTTAAAACCATATTGCTATGCCACATTCTTATTGTTATCCTAGGCCTGTTTAGTACTTTCAAGAACCTTCTCAATTATCTTATATTACAATATTATAGTCTTTAACTTTCATCCAGTCTTCTTGTTATTCCTCCTCTTTCTGTTCACGAATTCTTCCAGTCAGGTCAGCCAGCTCCAGAAACTCCAACATCTTCATCTGCCGTTCTTCTACCGTTGGTTTTTCTTGAGATTTCCAATTTTTTGCTAATAGCAGTCTTGCCGCTGTAGTGGCATACAAAAATAACCTAACATCTTTTTTGGGCTATTCCAATCCTATTATTCCAAGTAAAAAGGCTTCTGGTTTCTTTACAAATGTATATTTGAACATTTTTAAAAACTCATTATAAATCTTTTCCCAGAAGTCCTTAACCTTAGGACACGTCCACCACATATGGTAAAAGGTGCCTTCCTTTTCTTAACACTTCCAGCATGAGTTATCATACGTATGATAAATCTTTGCTAGTTTTACCAGGTTTAAGTACCACCTATACATCATTTTCATAATATTTTGATTTAGTACCGTACATGCCGTGAACTTAACCCCTTTCTTCCACAACCTTTCCCAATCTTCCAACATTATATTGTGTCCCACGTCTCTTGCCCAATCCATCATAACAGATTTGACTTGTTCATCCTTTGTATGCCACTCCAACAGCAAATTATACATTTTAGATGGATTTTTAACATCCGTATCTAACAACTCTGTTTCCAATTTGTTTTTTTCCGTTGCAAAACCATTTTTCTTATCAAACATATACAACTCATTGATCTGGTAATATTGTAACCAACCATCCAGTTTATCTTTAATTTGATCAAATGGTCTCAATTTAAATCCTTCATTATCTTCCAACAATAAATCAGCATATTTCAACCATTTAGTCTTCATGTTTAGTTTTTTCTGGGCCTTAGCTTCCATTGGTGAAAGCCACATTTCCTTTCTAAGAGATCTTTATATCTTATTCAAACATTATACAGAGATTTTTTAATTACATGATTTTTAAAACCTTTGTGGGCCTTTATCTTGTTGTACTGTAGATATGCATGCCAACCAAATACATTGTCAAATCCCTCCAGATCCAGCACATCAACATTGTCTAATTGAATCCATTCCTTTATCCAGCAGAAAGCTGCAGCTTCAAAATATATCTTCAGGTCTGGCAGGGAGAATCCCCCTCTTTCTTTAGTCTCTGTTAGTAACTTATATTTAATTCTGGGTTTTTCCCCCTGCCAGATAAATTGAGACAATGCTTTCTGCCATTCTTTAAAACACTTAACATTATCAATAATTGGTATGGCTTGAAATAAGAACAACATCTTTGGCAATACATTCATCTTTACCACTGAAATTAATTGTTACCGTTTTGAATTTTATTGTGTTATTATCTTCCTTAGTGGGTGGTGCAGACTGCTATTCTGAATAATGCTTCTTATAGATTAGAAGGCACTGGGGATGAGTTTATGGAACCAAGGGGGCTGTGGCCCAAAAAGGTTTGGGAGCCCCTGATCTAGTGTTTATTTCTTATCTGCTAACTCCAGGGTGTGAGCATGCATATATATGTATATGCTCTTGAGTGCATAGGATTAAAAAACAAAACAGCACCTTTTCCTTTAACGTCCTCAATCGGGCAATACCTTTATTAGGGCCAAGCAACATGCCACTAAAGAGTTGCAGGCTTTTCAGTGCTGCAGAACTCTTCGTCAAGCAAGATATCATACAAAGCAAGTCACGGGGTGGAGAGTGAGGAGAAACAAAGAAGTAAAATATAGGCTTGATGTTGCAGTCACTAGGTCAGTTTCTAGATTTAGGGTGTGCACAAATTACCACTTTAGAGCACAGTGAAGTCCCATTTCACAACTCCCTTCTTGTATACACACTATGTGTAGTATACTAGCAGCACACTGTCTTCTGACTAATAGCATATTGATGCTTCCCTTATGAAATGCTGCATTTTGAGGCGCAACCCCCCACAACCAGACTGCAGTTTAAGTTACTAATGCATACACTGTCATAGAATGCCATGTTTCTATGTAGGAACGCTGCTACATTTAAATTGGTACAATGGAGTATTAAGAGCTTCACAATCATGGATCATGCATGCTGAGGTGCAACATTACATGCTGATGATCGCAAATGTATGCATATGTAAATCTAGATATTACATACACATTAAATGCAAAACTCCAAAGGGAGATAAGCAAGTTTGAATTCTGTTTCTTCTTATTTGAATCAATTTCCCTTTTCTTTACAAGTGAAACTGTGGAAATAAATTTTGTTAGACGTTCATCTTTTTTCTTTTCTTTTCAAAAACCGTAATTACAGCAACAATCGCTGGGTGAGCAGGACTTTTGATCGTGAAATGACTTCCTGATGTCCCAAGAAGTTCAGAAACCACCTCATATGTTGCTGGCACATGGAAACCCAACAGTCCTTCTGATCACATCTCTGATTTCTTTGTTTCTCAGAGAATAGATGATGGGGTTGAAGAGAGGGATAAAAAAGGCATAGATGACTGCAACGATCTTGTCATAACGTCCCGATCCCATCCATGTCAAGTGCATGTACATGAAGCCAGTCGTTCCAAAAAAAGTAAAGACCACAATGAGGTGGGAGGCACAGGTGGAAAAAGCCTTCTGGCGCCCCTCCGAGCTATTGATCTTAACAATGACTTTCAGTATCTTCATGTATGAGAGGAGGATGAGGAAGATGAGGGCCAGGATGGCGATGGTGTGGAGGGCAAAATCCAACATGATGCTGGTTGATATGTCTGTGCAAGCAAGACTGATCACCTGGGGGAAGTCACAGAATATATGATCTATATGACTAGGCCCACAGAAGGGCAACCTGGAAGTCAGAACAATCTCCGGCAAAGGACATGCAAAACCACATGCACAGCATCCCAGCACAAGCTGAATGCAAAGTTGGGGGGTCATCTTGGTCATATAGTTTAACGGGGCACAGATGGCTAAGTACTGGTCGTAAGCCATCACTGCGAGCAAGCAGGCCTCTGAGATACCCACACTGTGGAAGAAATAGATTTGCAGACGACAGCTCCTGAAGGAAATGGACTTCTTGCTCCTCAGAAGGTCCACGAGCACCCTGGGCATGGTAACGGTGGTATAGAACACCTCCAAGGTGGCCAGCACAGCAATGAAGAAATACATGGGGATGTGAAGGCGAGGAGTGGCAGAGATGAGGCTTAAGATGAAAGCATTGGCACTGAGGATGAGCAGGTAGGTCACCAAGAAGATGGAGGAGGAGTATGCCGTAGTCGCCCAAGTTGAGGAACCCATCAAGCTCAAACTCAGACACTGAAGTGCCATTGATAGATTCTACCTGCATCATAGGTAGGCTAATCTAGAATAGGAAATAAAATCTATGAAGATGAGAGGCTGGCGAATAGAAGGTCATGGAGTTCATGTCTGCCTCATACTTTCACAGCATTTCCCTGTAACTTGAAAGATACCATTCCCTGAAGTTTGCAAGGATTATTATGACCACACAAATAGTATAGTACAGTTCAATCTTTTAAACAAAAGCTCCAGAATTTTTGGGGGAATCTGTGTGTCAATTACATAAAACCACATACTTCCATTCTCAGATATGATTGGAAAAAACAGTGGGTTGGGGGTGGGAGGGGAAAAGGAACATTTCTTTTACTTGGTGCTTTCCGGGTCATGTGGCTAGCAGGACTAAACCAAGAGGTTCAGTGGTTTAGACCGCAGTGCCACCAGTGTCCTAGTATTAGAAGCGATGGTTAATAAAGGCTGTGCACTGCTGTGCTCCCTCCCTGCTGAAAGTGATGGGCACAGTCACTGAAGGCAAACGTAGTGCACAATAATAGAATGGGGTGCAGCTGGCCAGCTCCCACCAATCACAAGAGACAGGAAAGTAGAAATTGCACATGGTACCTGGGACTGAAATGGGTTCATCTCTTTTCTACAAAGGGAGCTGTGTGTTTACTCTGCTTTCCATGCCAGGACTCTATAGCATCTGGGGAGTGATGACAGTGCCTCTGAGTGTATACAGCTTGTCTTTCTTTCCACCTCTAACAAACCACAGCCAGTTCTCAAACAGTCAAGATTAAGAAGAAGAGACTGGAGGCCAGATGAATTAATTCCTCAACGCTTTCAGAAGATATAATAATAATAATAGTAGTAGTAGTAATAATAATAACGTCTCACCCATGAATTGCATCCCATGAGGCACCCCAAAGTGATTTACAATGTAATAAAAACATACATAAAATAATGTATATATAAATTATTGTGTGTGTGTGGATACAT